ACAAAGAATTACAAAAAGACAACAGCCCTCTCTGATTAAAAGAAAGCCAATGAAAAAACACTTTAATCTCCCTATTTTGATTATTTTAAAAATTCTTAGTCTTACTACTAACTTAGCAGCTGCGATGGCCTGGACCAAATAATTGCAACATAAAAACTATAACTAAAAAAAGACAAAACCAAATTCCTACTGGATAATATAAGAACATCGGACAAATTATTTTTTAAAATACTTAACATAATAATCATTAACTAAACATTCTGAATACTTTCCAGGTATTTTCCCTAAAATGTTTTTTAGTCCCTTATTCTTCCAGTGAGTGAAAGCCAAATGTCTAAACTATACACACACATTCACACAGAATATTTCCCCCCTGAATACACTACATAATTTATCATATTGTATGACATACTATGACATCATCTCTTGGTAGGCAACTTGGATACGGAAATTTACTGCTCATCATAAACATTACTGATGGCTATTTCTCAAATATTCTCTCCGGTTACTCTCAGACACTCACTCAATGTCACTAACCCAACTTTCTACTACAAAAGCTAGGGGAAAAAACAGAGGGCCCCAAATTAATGTATAAAAATTCAATTCACATGTAACTTTTCTGAAAACACTACTGTTGGGTACAAGGAGGCAGATGCTTTAGGGATCTTGCAACACAGTCTAAAACATACATGCATCTTTGGATAACCTAACAAAATTAAACTATGGCCATCACAAAGTCAATCAATTCACTTCTTCAGCTCTCTAAACAAAGGGCCAACAAGACCAGCATTTAAAATTGAACAGAGATCCCAATTTATCTTTACCAACTTAAATGTACTCACAACAAATGCTTGCATCAAGCCATCACAACTCTCCTTAACAATGAAGGGAAAACTCATGATCAAAATAGAGCTTTCAGAGCAGTATTTCACTTGGATTATAAAATCTACTGCAAAAATTTCCATAACTTTACTCTCTGAATGCATGAAATGGATGGGGGCAGGGAAGAACTTCCCTGAAAAGCATGGGTATAAAATATGACTGATAGTAGCTCAATTGTTATTAGCTAAATGGCAGGGGCAAAGGGGTCACTACACGGATGACAGAGCATAAAAGAAAAAAAACATTTTTAATTGTTACAAAAACTGGTCCATATTCTCAAAAAATGTGAGCATCCACATCCCAACAAGTTATAGACTGTGATCTAAGGCACAGATCTTAAATGCAGAATAAAATGCCAATGCTCTGCTTCCCTAAAGAAACATACAGCCCATAAACTGCTGGACACCATCAAACTGACACCCGTCAGAGTGGATATTTTAAATATTATATCAGGAAATCATAGTCGGTGCTAGCGGTTCCTCTAGGCCTCAGCAGCAGCCTTGGGTATAAGAGCAAACTGGAGCCCTCTTAACACTCAAAGAATAATGTTGATGTCATGTCGAGGCTCCAGATTCTTCGCACTCCGGACAAGTCATTCCCGGATCCACAACGCAGTTCCTCCCCCGCCCACCCCCACTGCCTAAAATAGAGCTCTCCGGACAGAGAAGCCCTCGGTACCCCTTCTCCTCTACCTCGAGCGGCCGCCGCCTTCTCCTCCCTCGGGCTCCGAGGTGCGGGCTCCAGAAGGTCCCGGGCGATCCCGAGCCCGGGCGGTGCTTGTTTTGCCCGTGCACGGTAGCTCCGGCCAGCCGCTTCCTTTCCCGGTTTGTTCAAACTGGAGCGATCCGGGGTACCCGGGGGCCGAGGAGGGGAGCCCGGGTGGCAACGTCGCCGCGGCCGCCGCCTCTGGTATGTCAGGGGCCGGGATTGTATTTCGAAAGATCCGCCATTTTCACCTCGTCATCACCATCACGGCGCAGCAGCTTCCCGGCAGCCGAGCCGGGCCGCCGCCGCCGCCGCCAGTAACCTCCCTCCCTCCGCCCTCCCCGCCCGCCCCACAGGCGCGCACCCCAGACCGGAGCCGCCGCCGCCGCCAGCCTCCAAACGCACACGGGGCTCCAGCCGCCCGGCCGCGCCGAGACCTTTCACCCCGCAGCCAGACGCCGAGCTCCCGCCGCCCCGCAGGACGCCGAGGAAGTCGCGCTACCTGCGGGTCCCAAGTCCGGCATATTTCTGTTTGGAGAAGCAAAAGCCACACGGAGGATGGCATGAGGACAATAAAGAACTCCGACTCTTTTCCTTTTCAGCAAAGCAGCTTGAGAGAGATGGTGGAATGCCTTTCATTCACCGTGTCCATCTCAGGGCACTAAAAACATCATGAAGACCTTCGTGTCACTCACCCGCTTTGACAGGTTACTCCGCCCGCAGAACTACTTTGACAGGATGAGATCTTTCCAGACGCATGTATGATCTGACACCTTTGTAAATTCCAAAGCACTTTTCCTCATGCATATAGGGTGGTCGGTGGTCAAAACAGCTAATTTTTAAAAATAAAGTTCTGAACTATTATTTTCCTATTTAATTTCACGTGGTCGTTTCTGTCCACGAACAGTGTGACTTCCAATTTGTCACTGATTTAAGACGTCGAAGAGCAACTAGATTTAAAATGTATTGATCCAGTTATGGAAACATTCATGAATGGTCAATTTCCAAAATTTGGAAAATACAGTTCTAAGCTAAAATTCTTTGCCAAATGTTTTTAGGACTTAAGTAACCAAATTTAAAAAAACCATCTGTCCCTGATATATTTGTTCAATACAGTGAAAATAAACAGCTCGCTTTAGAACAAGACCCCAGGATTACCTACTCACCCCTACCTGCTCCTCTCATCATTCAGTTTAATAACTAAAAGAGAACATAGGTATTTTCTGATCATCTAAGAAATAAAAAAAACACAAGCTGCAGGGCTTGTGAGACCAGCATTAAAAAAAAAAAGTAAATTAGCTATCTTTTGTTAATTTGAGTTAATAATAACGATTCAAAAGCTGAATTCTATACCATTCAACTACAACATAAGCTCTAAAAGACCCATCTGAAAAAAGCATATTTAATTTGAAGGTTGCGAATAGGGCCACTCTACTGTCTTTTTAAAAAGTTGAAGACTGAGGGTGAAGTTGAAAAAGCCATTTCATTTCCCTACCTTGTCTGAATGACAACTCCATATAAGAGCTGGCGGGTTCAGGCTTAAACAAGTGCTACCAAGCACCCAGCCCCGTCGGTTTTTACATGCAGTCCGCTAGACGCCGAGGGCATAAAGTGTTCCCAATTTCTCCCTCTTTAAACTTTATTCCCCACCGACAGCCCCCTCCACCCGCGCTCTGCTTTGTTGTTTACCGTTGCCTGGCCAAGCTAAGTCCCGGGCCGCTCCCGTCCCCCGTGCAGCTCGGGGACACTGTGACATTTGCCTGGTGGGCTTCGCGAGGAAAACGGACACGCACGAAGAGCCCATACAAAGGGGAGTAGGAAGAGCGCGGCGGCGGGCAGCAGGGAAAGGAGGGGCTGGCACAAATGACACAGCAGCAAAACCGGTTCCCAGGAACCCGGGGCCGACACGGCGGCTCCTCGGCAGCGCTGCGTGCGTGTCAACAGCCCAGCGAGCCACCCCTCCAGCCCGCGGCCAGGCTGCCGGCCGAGCGCCGGCCCCGCCGGGTGACAGCCGCCCTCCCGGGCGCGGCGGGAAGAGGCCGAGCCCCGAGGATCCTCCGCCCCCTGCAGCCGGGGATGGGCGCGGCGGCCCGGCCGCAGGTTCCCGCTCCCGGCCCCGGCCCGCCGGCCTGGGCTCCGGGAGGGAGCGGTCTGGCGCCCTCCGCCCGCGCCGCCACTGGAGCGGGGCTGGCGCCCCCTTCCCGCCCGCCTGCCCGCCCAGAAGCTGCCATCCCGGGGGCTGACACTCACCCAAGCCGGCGGCGCCGCCGCCTCCTCCTCGCGCGGCGCTCCCTGGGCTCCCAGCAGCCGCGGCGGCGGCGGCGCCTCCGAGACACAGACCAGGGTTTGTTCAAAATCACGCGCCCAGCGCCATTCCACCGCCGCATCCCATAATACGCCGGGCCCTCCCCGCCCGCGCGCCGCCGCCCGCCCTCCGCTGCGCCCGCCCCGCCCCCCGGGCCGGCTCCTTCGCCCCGCCCCTTCCGCGCGCCTCGCCCCGCCCCGCGGCAACCCGCGCCGCGTCATTCCGCAGGGCTCCGCGGGTGCGCTCCGCTCCACGTGACTGCAGGGGGCGCTCTGTCAAAGCTTTCGCGCGGAATGTTCCATCGGCCTGGCGCGGTCGGGGGAGTTGGAGAGACCGGTCCAGCTCTCCTTGTTAGGAAGTCTGTGCTGTGGGTGCGATTTCTGCGTCCCCCCGCTGTGCCATGCGCCCGAGCGAGGAGGTGATCGTACTCACGAATGCCAAATCGCTTCGGTGTTTAGGCACCGATTTCGCGGGGGTCGCTAAAAAGCCCCTGGGAGATCACCTTGTTAAACTTATTTTGGAAAGGACTTTTTGCTTCTCTTGCATTATACAGCTAAGACCAACACAATCAGTATCCTTTGTATTTAGTAACCTTTTTCCTTCTTTTATTTTTCTCGCTATTTATAAGATCCAAATGTGGAGTAGGGCTCTGTGTGAGCCAGGAACTAAGCAGAAGAAACAGTCGAAAATACGAAAGAGTGTAAATGAAATAGTGTGGCATGGTCTATAATTGCTAATGGAACCCGAGGACGGGCAGGTCCACGTGAGAGACTAGCTGGGGAACACAATGGAGTAGGGGAGGCATAATGTAGTGGACGTAGCAATCACTCTGGAATCGAGCATTCTTGGTTTTAAATTTCTGCACCTGCGCTTCTTAGTGTATAAAGTTTGTCTTTTCCCAGCTACAAAACAAAAACAGCAAAACTTCCCAGGATTCTAAAGGTTAAATAAAATGAGGGGTGTCGAGCAGCTACACTACACAGTCTCTGCCACAAATGTTGGTTCTATCTTGTCACAGTCAACACCACCCCGTACCTCCCAGCCCAAATTCAAGGGTTAGGATTTAGCAAAGCAAGTGGTAGGAAATTAGCAAAGGCTTGGAAATGGGAAGGTCTGCGGTACATGCAAGGAACACAAGAAAGCTGAATGATACACAGGCTTTGTTGGGGATCGGTGGTGGGAGCCCAGTTTATAAGGAGGAAAAAGGCATGTTTGGGCTGGCTGCAGTGGACATAAAGTAGAATCTGTGACAGGAAAGGGACTCCAGGATAACTTCCTTTGCATATTCGTAGGGAAGTTGAGAGAGGGCAGTGGCTGTCTAGTTGACTGCAACAATGGGAGATTCCTAGCCAAGGAAATGGCCTTATTAGTGAGAGGAATTAATATGATGTTGTAGTTAGAATATTTGTTCCCTCCAAAACTCATGTTGAAACTTAATCCCCACTGTGGCACTACTGAGAGGGTGGGGCCTTTAAGAGGTACTGGGTCATGAGGGCCCTGCCCTCGTGCATGGATGAATGGGTTTTCATGGGAGTGGATCCCGCGGCTTTATGAGAAGAGGAAGAGTGAGGAGCACGCTCAGTCCCCTCACTACGTGATGTCCTGTGCTCCCGTGGATCTGCAGAGTCTCCACCAGCAAGAAGGCCCTCATCAGACGTGCCCCCTCGACCATGGGCTTCTCAGCCTCCAGAACTGTAAGAAATAAATTCCTTTTCTTTATAAATTACCCGGTTTCAGGTATTCTGTTACAAACAACGAAAAATGGACTGAGACATATCCCAATGGCGTTGACATCTGCTAGCTGGCTTCTTCAACTTCTTCGACTTTAATGTGCAAGAATTACTAGAAGGAGTTTGTCAACCTGACAGTTTTGATTCAGTAGGTCGGAGGATCCAAGGTTTTGCACAGTAAAAAAGAGCTAGGATTTGTGCACTCCCCTTGAGTTAATTCGGATGTGCCTAGCTAATTTCTTGCTAATAATTGAAAAGGAGAGAATAAGCTCCAAGGCCATCCAGGTTTGCTTTTCTTCACTGCTATAAGTAAAACCTAATAATGTTTTCTCAGAGGCTGGGAAGGGGGAATGAGAAGTCTGGAAAGGGAAGTCCTTTTCATATCAAAATATTTGGTAAAATTGATGCCTACAATTAACTAGGAATGCAGACAATCTCTTTCCAAGCTTGTAGCTCTAGTGAAAGTATCTGGAAAGAGCCAGCTTGTGTGTGTGGCTGCTTTTTGTTCTCTTTCAGCACAGTATTGCAGGTCATATTTGAAGTCAAGGTAAAAAGGGAATAAAATGTCCAGAAATCCTGGGCCTTCATTATGTTGAAAAAGCTAACTGTTCATGTATCCCTAAATAGCAAAAGAAAAGACTTAGCTTAGAGATTTCTCATAGCCCATTAAGACTTTTTGGCAAACACAAACAAAAAACAATGGAAAACAAAGATAAGCTCAAGCTAAATCAAATTAATAGAGTTTTTTCTCATTTAAGTCAGTGGTTTCAGATGATTTCAAGGCTGTCATCATTAAAAACAGGGCATTAAGAATGGTTGAGCAAAGAAGTCAGGATTTAAGGCAGTTTTAACAATTACTTCTAGAAAGAACTTTGGGTGTAGTTACCGGCACCTAAAACTGTCTGGAAGCAAATAGGGCTTACTGAATATTCAATGGAATTGTAGTTTAAAAACAACCACAACAAATAAAAGCCCTCTGCTGGGCAAGGTATCTCACACCTGTAATGCTAACACTTTGAGAGGCCAAGGCAGGAGGATCATTTGAGCCCAGGAGTTTGAGGCTCTAGTGAGCTATGATGACCAGGGCAATAGAGCAAGATCCTGTCTCAAAAAAAAAAAAAAGCCCTCGATCGTTCAAGCTTTAAAGGCATTCCCAAAGAGGAAATATGCTCAACATCCAGTTAGCTTGTATTCAGAAGGCAAAGCTTGTGCTCACAGAATACAATGGACTATATGGAAATCCTTGCAGAGAGCAGAACCAAAGTCTGACCAAGGAACTCACTCCACTACCAGGCAGTGGGTATTCATAATTCCTTCCCAGGATTCTGCCCGTTGCTGTGGGCCAGGAACTGCTGTATTTCCCATTCTTACTTTTTATGAGTTTTAACTGAAGTTGTCCTATTTCTGCTCCATTATCATTTTGTATTATTTGTATGGGCATAGGGCAGATCATTTGTTTTATAGTCATATATCAAGATGGCAAAAATTTAAAGGATTGACATCTTTTGTAGGCAACTGTAGAAAATTGCACTCCTATATATTTCTGGTAGGAGGGTAAAATGATAGAATCCCTATAAAGTGTAGTTTGGCAATATCTACCAAAATTGTATGTCTACCTTTTGACTCACTTCTGGTAATGTGTCTTACCTGTACATATATAAAATAATCTATGTAAAAGGCAGCATTAATTAAAAATAAGTGTTAACTAAAAATTAACTAAAAATAGGATTAAATAAACTACCCTCACTATGCAATACTCTCCAGCTCGAAAAAGAATGACTATTTAAGACTAGATTTATATGGTAAGATCTTTGGGTGTCTTGTTCTGTCTTCTGTTGCTTATAACAGAATACCGGAAACTGGGTAAATTATAAAGAAAAGGAAATGCGGATATTTTTTTGTATTTTTTTAAACTATCTGTCAGTGGTGAACTGGAAATACAAACAACTCGTTCTTTACCACCGGTAGTTTAAGCGCTGCCTTAAGGAACAGTAAACTATAGACAGCAGACACGGAACTTAGTGAAAACGCAGTCCTTTTTACACACCCGGCACTTAGGGCAGTTGCACAAGTGGAGTTCATCAGCCAATCCAAAGTCGGAGCGTGCGAGGCAGAGCCTGTGGAAGAAGCCTTGGCAGGCCCCAGTCTTGAGGAGCGGAGCTGTGCGTCACTCAACCCTGAGGGCGGCGCTAAGCCCAGGCTCCCACACCCGGCGCTCTGGCCCTCACAGGCGCTACTCTGTGGCATCTCGGGTTCCCTCTGGCTGTGCTCTGGAGGACCACACTCGTTTTCTTCTTGGCTGCCCGAGGCTCCGCGGCGGCGGCTGAGCTGGAAGAAAGATGGCGGCAGCCGTGCGACAGGATTTGGCCCAGCTCATGAATTCGAGCGGCTCTCATAAAGATCTGGCTGGCAAGTGAGTGTTTCCCAGGAGCACGGGAGTGTGGAGGTGGGCAAGGCAAGCCTCAGTGTTGATCTCCTTGGGTTGACCGCGGCTCTCGGGTGTGAAGCTAGGAGCGGGCCTGAGGACCAAGGGGGGCGGGCCTCTGGTCGGCTCGCGAGGCAAATGTTGGGGGCAGCAGAAAACTGCGGGGGACCTTGTGCAGGGGCCCTCGAGGCCAGAGACCTGGGATGACTGTCAACTTCTTCAGTCCTAGATAGCACCCTTTCTGGTCCCTCGGGATTTTGGAAGCGCGTTGTGAGATATGACTGTTCTGGCCTTCGCAGCCTTCCCTAGTTCCTTTTGCTATCGCTGGCCGGCCTCTCACACCGACTCTGGCCTCTCTTTGGACCTTTTCCTCCCGTTTTTGATTGAGGGACATTTAAATTCTGGGACCTTGATGCAGCATTTTCCGGGGAGATGGCTTCTTGGGGCTGACGGGGGCTGAGGAGGTATGGCTGCTGTCATGTCGGATAGAACCCCTCGGACCATCTTCTGCAGGTCCTGGTGTTTTGGGTATTCTCTCTGCCACCAACTCCGAAGATGGGCACACAGGCGGAATGTCCTCATATCGCGGATCAGGATGTCTAGAGCAGTGACGTTTGCAGGAATCTGGATTGTTCAGGAATTTTGTCGACATTTATGTAGAATGGTTAGGTCTACTCCAAGTTAAAATTTGTGACATGTGCTTGTCCTGCAAAAAGTTGTTCAACAGTGTTAATCATAGGTAGGTAGCTAGATACACAGATACCGTTCATCTTCTCTTCAGAGATTTCACAGCACTGTTCTTTTGTAAGGCACGTGCCTTCTGTTTAAAATATACCTCTCAAGTTGATCCTAGTATTTACACCCTGACAGCTGAGTTCACGTTGGTCTATATTAATAGGAAACACCTGCTCTAACCTGGACATTGAACTCCAGTGTTTTATGTAGGCTGTGCTGTCTTTTCTCTGCTGGTAAATGTACTTTTTAATTCTCTACTTTCGTTAGTGGGAAATTTAGTTGTATATTTTGGGCATAACTGCTTTGTGCTGCATTTTCCCACTCAGGAAAATGGGGATAATAACAGGACTTAATCTTGTCTAAGGTTAATTGAGGACAAAATGAGTATCTGTGTGCACATATGTTTATCACACTCATATCACTTAGAACAGTACCTGACACTTAGAAAATGCCATGAGATTGTTGTCGTTATTGTTATTAAGCAGTCTGTAAATACATACTGGCTTATTCCATGAGTTGAAAATAAGTTGAATCTATCTTCATGGCTCAATCCTTTTTGCATGTAATTTTTATCCATATGGATGAAAGTAAAACTAGCTTATATTTTTCCCCATGATGCTTTGCTTTTTATTTTGTTGAAGGAAAATAAGTGCATTCGTTATCAGAAGAGACAGCTTTTCAAGCATTTGCAGACGTCTGAAACTTCAACTAAGTATTTACTTCCTCAGCTGTGAATTGGAGAAAAACAATAGTATTTATCTTATAGCATGTTTCAGGTGTCTTTCTGTGTAATAAACCAAAAACTCAGCAATGTGAAACAACTATTATTTCTCAGGATTCTGTGGGTTGACTGGGCTGTTTTGCTGGTCTTGTCTGGGCTCACTCATGCCGGTACAGTCAGCTGTCAATTCAGCTGGGGCTGGACTCACATGCATATCTGGCTGTCGTCTGAGTCTCCCTCCATGTACCTAGTCTCTCATTCAGTAGTTTAGCTGGAGCTTTCTTTTTTCTTTTTTTTTTTTGGAGACAGAGTCTTGTTCTTTCACCCGAGCTAGAGTGCAGTGGCGTCATTATAGCTCACAGCAACCTCAAACTCCTGAGCTCAAGTGATCCTCCTGCCTCAGCCTCCTGAGTAACTGGGATTACAGATGTGTGCTACCACACCCCGCTAATTTTTTCTGTTTTTGGTAGAGACAGGTCTCACTCTTGCTCAGGCTGGTCTTGAATTCCTGACCTCAAGTGATCCTCCCGCCTTGGCCTCCCAGAGTGCTAGGATTACAGGCGTGAGCCACTGCACCTGGCCTAGCTGGGGCTTTCTTACATGGCCATGAGAGTGTTCCAAGAGCGTGAGAGTGGAAGCTGCAAGATCCCTTAAGGCTAGACTGGGAAGTCTCACATCATTTCTGTAGTACTAGTCAAAGTAAGTCACAAGACCAGCCCAGATTCAAGGGGAGGGGAGATGGAGTCTACCACTACCTCTTTAGTGGCAAAGTTACGTTGCAAAGGGGCGTGGACAGAGGGAAAACTGATTCATTGGAGGCCATTTGCTGTAACAGTCTACCACATGGGATTATTGTGGAGATTAAATTAAATAATGTGCTTCATACTGATAGCCAGTGCAGTGTTAGCTAGTAAACTCCTTCAGAGCTGCTTTCCGAGAAAAGTCTAGACCTTGCCCGTAGGTCCTATCTGGGCAAGAACTTGTCAGGATATCTATTCTTCCAAAAAGATAGTTCTGCCAGCCACATGCTTTAAGAGAAATACTCTTGAAATATATCAGTGGTTTTAGGGTTATGTTAGGAGCTGGGTAACAAAGGATTCCATATTAAGGAATGATGGATTACATTGGTTTCTAAAATATTGATAATGTGTGTTCCCAGCAATTAGCAGGATATCTATAACAGTTGTTCAATAAGTGTTGGTTGAATCAATAAATAGCTAGAAAGGGGCAGAGGTTATATTGGAACCCATTTGTCTACTCTAAAAAGCTCATTTTTAACCTATCAGCCTATACTACTTTTCTTGTTAAAAACCCAGTTAGAAATGCTTTCCCATAACTGAATTAACACAACGGTCTAAAGTTGATATAAGAAATCGACCATAGGAAAAGCATTTTTACAAATTTTATAGGCTGCTTTTTGTACATATTGTGTTCATTATCTCATATAAAGCTTTAGAATAGGAGGAGAGCCTGGAGAGGGAGCATTTGAGTAGAGAGCTAGCTATTGTGATAGCCTTTCTTATTCATACTTGGCTAAACCTACTTGGTTCTTCCAAACTAAGTTCAGATGTTACTTTTTCCAGAAAGCCTTCTCTGAACAACCACCAGCACACACTCAGACCCATCCACCCACAGGACCTGGTTAGTTGTCTTCCTATGCCCAGTGACACCTGTATTTTTCTCTCCCATAGCACTAATTGTTTGGTCTGTTTACTGGCCTGCTTCCCTAACTAGAATGTGGTTTCTTTTGAGGGCAGGTATGAGGTCATGGATTATAAGGTTTTGCTGAGTTAATCCTATGGAGATACGACATTTTTTGTTTTTTCCCAGTTTTGTGGTATGGAGGGTACCCAGAGGAGGATAGCAGGCCTGTGGAGTCTAAACATGTCATTTTACAAGAAGCTTTTAGTAACGGGAGAACTCTTAGCTGCTTTTACCTATTAGAAAAGCCATTTTTTCAGAAAAGAAAATAGATTACCCTCTGTTCCACAGAGGTGGACTTTGGATTAGAACTTTCTAATAATAGAATGGAAAAAAGCTGTAAAATTGGAAGATACACACACACACACACACACACACAAGATGGAGAACAGTCTATATAACTTCAGAGGTAAAAGTTGATAACGCCTAGGGTTTACTGTGTGCCAAACACAGCATTACTTACATTTTCAAATCCTCAGTAAGTCAGTGATATTATTTACATTATATATGAGAGAACTGAAATACAGAGGTGAACTACCTTGCTCTGAGATCACACAGCGCCCTTAACTCTGAACACATCTACCTTTTTGTCCTTATATTACTTTCACCAAACTACATTGCATGCAGTGATTTTTTTTTTTTTGCCTAGAATGCCTGTCTTCTCTCGGTCTTTCCCATTGTCACTAAATTGAAATATTTAGAATGCCTAAAGACCAACCTAGTTAGGAGATTATTTCTCTCTCCTGAAAATTGTATATTAGCACTTAACCTGTTTTAAAGATTTAAAAATTTTCTGCAGCTTCATCGTGATGTGTCTATGTGGATTTGTTTTGAATTATTTATGTCAGTTAGCTTTTGCAGTGAGATAAACCAGCCCAAAACCTAGTGCCTTAAAACAACAATGGTTTATTTAGTTCACAATTCTGTAGGTTGGCATTTTAGGTTGGGCTCAGCTGTATGGTTCTTCTCTACTCCACTTGGTCCTGGTTCCACATGGGCTCCCACATGGGTTTGTAGTTAGCTGCAGGCCAGGTCAGGTTGTCTGGCTTGTTGGCTGGAGCAATGGAGGTAACTGGGCTACATATCTCATAAGTCAGCAGATTCATGTGACCCAAGCAGGGTTTCAAAAGGCAAATGCATACAAGGCCTCTTGAGGTCTAGGCTTAAAATTGGTACTTCACTTCTACCACATTCTATTGCTCAAACAAGCCCCAGATTCAAGAGTTGGGGAAATCTACCTCTTGATGTCAGGAGCTACAAAGTCACATTATAAAGGGGCGTGGATACTGGGAGTAAAGAATTGTGTGATTTTTTTTTTTTTTTTTTTTTTTTTTGAGATGGGGTCTCATTCCATTGCCTGGACTAGAGTGTAGTGGTGTCAGCCTAGCTCACTGCAACCTCACACTCCTGGTCTCAAGCGATCCTCCTCCTGCCTCAGCTTCCTGAGTAGCTAGGACTACTGACACACATGGCCGTGCCTGGCTAATTTTTTTTTTTCTATTTTTTGTAGAGATAGCATCTCGCTGTGTTGCCCAGGTTGGTCTCAAACTCCTGGCCTTAAACGATCCTCCTGCCTTGGCCTCCCAAAGTGCTGGGATTACAGGGGTGAGCCACTGTGCCTGGCCTCTGCTGGGTTTCTTGAATCAATAGATTAGATTCTTTCATCAATCCTGAGTTTTCAGGTTTATCTCTTTAAATGTTCCCTCTGCCTATTCTATTTTCTCCTCTAGGCTCCCGTGAAACCCCTGTTAGATCCACTTCCTGTAACCTCTATGTCTCTTACTCTGTCTTCTGTATTTTCTGTTTCAATGCTTTATCCCTTTAAGGACCCTGACATTTAGCAATATTAAAAATAAGAATTTTGTTTCTAAAAGCTTAATATTTCCTTGCTTTCTTAGAATAATTTTATTTTTTTTTTTGAATTTGCTATCTTTTCTGTCAGTATACTTGCTCTCTTAAAGTCAGTTTGATTTATTACGGTTTTGAGAAATCGGACAAAGCAAGATTGTGAGAATTTTGTATGAATTGAGAGTCAGTAAGTGCTGAATGGTAGCTTGAGGATGTGCCCTACCAAATGCGAGTTGTAAATCTGAATGAGTTCTATTTTTGTAAATTTGTTTCTTGACTATATTCTGGATGACTTCTGAATAATTGCAAAGCTATTAAGTTTGTAAAATGCATTTAATTAGTGCTTTTTAAAAATATTATGATTAAGACAAAAGATATAAAGAATAGTATAACACTCATGTACTCACCACTCAATTCAAGAAATAAAACATTACCAATACCGTTGAATATGTGAGTGCTGATGATGCGGCAAGTACTGTTTGAGGCATTGAGTATGTAGCAGTGAACGGAACAGACAAAAATCTCTGTCCTCATGGAGCTTGTGTTTCAGGAAGGAATTTGCCATTGCCTAATAAGCGTCATTGTTCCTGTTTTTAGCATTTCTCTTATCCTTTTTAGAATGCTCATTTGAATCTTATGTGGTCATGGATATTAAATTAGGAAGAATAGATGTTAGAACTGAATGCAAATGAAGAATAAATAGGTACGGTCTGCCAGCATAAAGGATGTTCTATCAGTGGATTTGGCTTGGTGGAGTTTATTTTGTACAGATTAACACATACAATCTCTAATGTTGATTTCATTGCCTAGTCAACATTATCCTATTGCTGGTGACCCTAGATTCATTAGGTCCACAAGAGGAAAAGGTTCTGGTTCATCTCAAATAATGTCTGTGTAATACACAATTGAAGGAAATATAGCTTATCTTTTAAGGCATTTGAGAGGAAATTGGCTTTTTAGTTTAAATTCACAACTAAAATTTTTGAGAAAAAAATGGCACCTTAGACTGAGTAACTTGGAGTTATAGATTCACTCTTTCTTTTGATGGGCTTGAAAACTTTTTAAAAATTCTGGTATACTGTATTGAAAACTAGAAGAAACGGCACTTTAGAACTGTAGATTTAGTATTTCTTGTGATGGACCAGAGACTTAAAAACAAAAAGGCTGGGCACAATGGCTCACACCTGAAAGCCAAGCACTTTAGGAGGCTGAGATGGACCCCAGCTTGGGCAATCAGTGAGACCCCTGTCTCCATAAAATATAAAAAAATTAGCTCCGAGTGGTGGGGCACATTTATAGTCCCAGCTACTCAGGAGGCCGAGGCAGGAGGATGGCTTGAGCCCAGAAGTTTGAGGTTACGGTAAGCTATGAAAACACTGCACTCTAGCCTGAGCAACAGCAAGACCCTGTCTCAAAAAAAAAAAAAAAAAAAAAACCCCAAACAAACAGACAAAACTGTGGTGTACTATAAAGAAAACCACAAACGAGAACACTATGAAAGAAACCGGGGCAAATAGAAATGAATAAATACACATCAAAGTTAGAAATGAATGAATAAACCTTCCAAGTTTGCATTTGAAAATATGGTGCCCTCTGAACATCCTTTTTATTTGATGTTGTTTTAGGTATCGTCAGATCTTGGAAAAAGCTATTCAGTTATCTGGAGCAGAACAACTAGAAGCTTTGAAAGCTTTTGTGGAAGCGAGTAAGTGAGATGGAAACTCCATGTTTGCCTTGTTTTCCTGAGATAGGACTTTAAAGCTTTCGCAAGCCCTGTTTTATGTCAAATTATCAGTGTTAAATATGCGTCAAGATTGATTGATGGATTTTAAAATGTAAACTATTTAGAACTTAATTTTTGATGAATGGTCTTCAGAATTAGAATCCCAGTTAAAGTTTTGTGTAGTTATTGTTATAGTAGCTGATGAGAGACAATATAGCACAATGATGAAGAGAATAATTTGAACGCAAATCCTGATTTGCTATTTTAAGAGCTGCGTGATCCTGAGTAAGTTATTTAATGTCTTTGTGCCATCTTTTCCTCTTCTATAAAATGGGAATATGATACTTACCGTGTAGAATTATTGGGAGATTAAACGAGTTGATACACATAATAAAGTGCTTAGAATAGTACCTGGCATATAATAAGTGCCGTGTAAGTGTAAGCTGTTATTAATGTTAAGAATATTCCTTTTGAACTGGGAACTAGAAATTTCCATTCTTCAAGACACGTTTCCCTACACCCTGACTTAAAACGTATCAAAGTATGAAAATTGAAAATTACTCAAAATTCAGGCTGGAATTTATAGTGAGTTAACAATATTAATGATACTTGATAGTGCTGTACAAGTGTGTTTTTACCTACTTGTCCATCACATGGGCTCCTTTTAATAACCTTGTGACTAGACAATATAGATATGGGTATCCCTATATAATCTATTGTAAAATGAGTCTCAGGATTAAATGACTTTTCCTCTCTTCCTCCCTTCCTCCTTTTCTCTCTTCCTCCTTTCCTCTCTTCCTCCTTTCCTTCCCCCTTCCTTCCCTTCCTTTCTTTTCTTTCTTTCTTTCCTTTTTTCAGACAGGGTCTCACTCTTTCACCCAGGCTAGAGTACAGTGATGTTGTCATAGTTCACTGAAACCTCAAACTCCCAGGCTCAAGGGATACCTCCTGCCTCAGCCTCCTGAGTAGCATGAACTACCATGCCCAGCTAATTTTTCTTTTTTTTTTTCTGTAGAAAAATGAAAACGAACTAATGAAAAATGAATAATGCCTTGAAGGCTGCACTAATATAGATTGTTTTTAGCATTATTTTCGGATAAAGATTGATTGCTTAATGAAAATTTATAAGTTACTCATGTTTTCTTATCTCTTATTTTTTTCAACAAGTGGTAAATGAGAATGTCAGTCTTGTGATCTCGAGACAGTTGCTCACTGATTTCTGCACGCATCTCCCTAACCTGCCCGATAGCACAGCCAAGGAAATCTATCATTTCACCTTGGAAAAGATCCAGCCTAGAGTCATTTCATTTGAGGAGCAGGTAAAAATCTGGAGAGTGGTTTTTGAACTTGAAACAGCAATTATTTTGAGAATCTGATGTTATTAAATTCTTAAAGGAGATAATCATTCAGTTTCATTTTTGACAAAACAATATGCCAAATAGCATTTTACAGTGTAAAATCAAATAAATGTTAGAATTTTGCAACTCCAGCTGACATTTGCTCATAGATTAAAGTTGATTTTTATGAACCAAATATCACTCTTTAGAAAATTTTTAAAAAATTGGTAAAAATAGGCTGAAAACACAAGAAAACTCTGGCATCATGTATACAGTAACATAAAAGCAAAATTTAACATTTAACAACATTGCCATAATCCACATTGCAGAAATGTGGTTTCAGTTCACTACTTTGATATTCTATGAATGCAAAATTCATAGAAAAATTTGGTGGTCTAGAGAAACTTTTACTATTGACTTGCCAGCTTAATATGCTGAATTGCCATAGATTAACTTATCTATTTATTTTAGTTACTAATGTCTAGTTGAAATAATTTAACATGTATATCTACTATTCCAGGTTGCTTCCATAAGACAGCATCTTGCATCCATATATGAGAAAGAAGAAGATTGGAGAAATGCAGCCCAAGTGTTGGTGGGAATTCCTTTGGAAACAGGACAAAAGTATAGTAAATAGTGGATATTGGATGACTATGTATAGGATATATAAATTGTTCACTTAATATTTTTGCTTACATTCTAGTATAGGAAACAGGTAAACAATTTAATAAATACATACATTTTATAGGATGTTAGAAGATGATAAATGCTATGGAGAAAAGCTAAGGGGCAAAGTGGAGACAGGTTGTCTGTATCCTTAAATAGGGTGATTGGGGTGGTGAGTGGCCCTGATGTCACTGTCTCAAAGACTTGAAAGAACTGTGGGCTATGTGAGGAAACAGTATCACTAGATACTCTTAGAGGGGATGACTAGTGCAAAGGCCCTAAGATGGGAGCAGGCTTGAAGTGTTTTCTTAGTAAGAGCAAGGAGGAGGCCTTGGATATTTATAAATAACTTGACAAATGAATATCCTTGTACATACATATGTGGCCACATCCTTTACTATCTTTTTAGGACTTATTTTCGAGAGAGAAAGTATAATGGGTTAAGGATACATGCATTTTAAAGGATCCGAAGGATTGTTGCAGATCGTGTCGCCAAATTGTTTTCTAGAAGGGTTATGCTGGTGTATAGTCCCACTACTAGCATATGATGTGGCCCCGTACTGGGCAGTTGCTCTATTAAGATCTTTAGCTTATCGGAGATTATCTGAGGATCAGAAGTTGCTAAGATACAATGTGATCAATGATGATAACAAAAATAATTCAAGAAAACTTAGTTTTTCTATAATATAACACAGACAAGTTTGATTCCTTTTTATTAACAGAATATATATAAGGAAAAAAATAGCATATTTTCTATCATTCATAAAAATTTTCTTGATAAAATATTGGATCATTGTGTGTTTTTCTGTTATATCCCAGACAGTACAATGTAGATTATAAGCTGGAAACTTACCTGAAGATTGCTAGGCTATACCTGGAGGACGATGATCCAGTCCAGGCAGAGGCTTACATAAATCGAGCATCATTGCTTCAGAATGAATCCACCAATGAACAATTACAGATACATTATAAGGTAACAGATGAGCTGATTTGGAATTAATTTTGTATTAGAGAATTGTACCATACTAAGATGTTCCAGAATATCTGATAAATGCTCTTAAATATTAGAAATTTGTTCTCTCTCTCTTTTTTTCTTTGTTCTCCTAATTGAAACATTTTCCCTTTGTAGGTATGCTATGCACGTGTTCTTGATTATAGAAGAAAATTCATTGAAGCTGCACAAAGGTACAATGAGCTCTCTTACAAGACAATAGTCCACGAAAGTGAAAGACTAGAGGCCTTAAAACATGCTTTGCACTGTACCATCTTAGCATCAGCAGGTAAACACATAATTTATGCTTAAATAACAGTTATCTTAGTGACTTTAGGTTGGTTACTATTGGAAAATTTAGCAAGGAACTATTTTTCAGAGGAATGCCTTTTTAATACAATTATGCTAAATTTAGTTTAAGCATTTAAACAGTTAAAAACAGCAATAAAATTGTTAAAATAATTTAATATGCATGTATCAGTCTATTACCTGTATGTGTTAGTAATAGTTAAGAGAGATAATATAAAGTTTAATTTTCCTAAAATTTCACTAAAGAAAGAGACATTAAATGAAGTGAGAATTACACAGAAGGAAACAAAAATTCAAATCTAGAGATTGATGAAGTGATAATTAATGTACTGTTTTTGGAATTTTTTGTTTGTGTGTTTGTTTTTATTTTAAACTTCAAGCCTCAGTTTTAGACTTGGCATTCCTCTTTTTCTTCAATAAATATAACAAACTATTCTTTGTTCTTTCTACTAAATTATAGCATGTAAGTCACTTGGTTTATAAAGTGGAAAGGTCATTAAGAGGAAATGCTAATTCTAAACCATGACTTTTTAAAAATCATTCTGGAATCTTTAGTTGAAAGCCTAATGACATGTTCAGACTACACATTTCATTCATTATAAAGTGGTAATATTTTCTTTTTTGTTACTGAAAAGGCAGTACATAAACACGTTACTGCCTGCTTCCTTTTCTAAACAACTATTACTGGTTTCTTATATTTCTTTCAATATAAAAATTTCCTTCATGTTCTTTATACCTAAATGGTGGCATGATATATATGCTTTTGCAACTTGCTTTTTTCTTGTTAAGTATATACATCATAGTGATCTTTACATGTCAGCACATATGACTCATTCTTTTTGATTTTCTGTTGTCTGGCTTTACCATAATTTATTTAGTCAACTACAGACAGCACTGCAGTGATAATGCACATATATGAGTATATGTATGGACTAAATTTCTGGATCCAAAGGTACATACTTTTAAACTGTTGATAGAAATTATACATTGCCCTGTAATGTTACACTCTGAACAAAAATGTTCACAAGTACCTAATTCCTCACACAGGTATTGCCAAATTTCTTGATCTTTGCTGATCTGGTAGATGAAAAATAGTATCTCCCTTTAGTTTTGATTTGCATTTCATTTATTACGAAGTACAAGTAAGCAAGAAAAAGAAAATAGAAATTACCCGTGCTTTTAACCACTTACAACATTTTGGTTTCTATCTAGGTCTCAGCATATGAATATATAGTTGATCCTCATTATTGGTGGATTCCATATGTGTGGATTTACCTACTTGCTAAAAATTTATTCGTAACCCCAAAGCCAATACTTCAGTGCTCACACAGTCATTTGTAGACCTGTGCAAAATGGAAAAACATTTGACCCAGCGCATATATTTTCAGCCGAGGCTGAATAAGCTGATGCTCTGCTTTTGTTTCAGCTCTTATGCTACGAACAAGTGTCCTTTTCGTGGTCTATTTAATATCATGTTTTTCACATTTTCGTGCTTTTATCAGTGATTTTGCTTTTTAAAATGGCCCCCAACCATAATGCTGAAAGTGCTGTCTAGTGTTCTTAAGTGCCTTGCAGAGAAAATTAGTGTGTTAGATAAGCTTCATTTAGGTATGAGTTACAGTGCTGGTCATGAGTTCAATGTTAGTGAATCAACAGGATATATTAAATAAGATATCTTTAAACGGGAGCACACATAAAGCAAGATTATAGATTGGCCGACAGAAAAGTTGTGGCCAGAGGCTGACGGTCCTTAACCCCGTGTTTCCCATAGGAGGGGCAGTTGTGTATTTGCTAATTCAGTGTTGGCAACAATTTTATAGACTGTAACTACTGTGAATAATCAGTATTGACAGCATATTTTAGTAGGCAAAAATGGGGTCTTTAGATAGATTATTTTTTATGAAGAAGCATTGTAGAAATATCTGTTGTTCATTCGTTTCTCTTAGGACAGCAACGTTCTCGGATGCTGGCTACTCTTTTTAAGGATGAAAGGTGCCAGCAACTTGCTGCCTATGGAATCCTAGAAAAAATGTACCTAGACAGGATCATCCGAGGAAATCAACTTCAAGAATTCGCCGCCATGCTGATGCCACACCAAAAAGCAACCACAGCTGATGGTAATGACCATGTCTTGTATGTATATGGCGGTAAATATTTAATTTCTACTAGTACGGACTAGCAGAAATTATGTTGAATTAGAAACATCTTGCTATCTTTCTATAGTTCTATATAGCACTTCCTGATAAAAAGAAGAATATTATATTGACTAAAGATGAGTATCATACACAAACATGGACTTCCAGCATAAAAATAGCCTTATTTTAAAGCATTTTATGAAATAATGCGTTTTTGCAAACTGTAAGAGCAGAAAAATTACAGACTATGCTTATAATGCCTAGTTTTTAGAAAATTCAAACCATTGATAAGTAAAATCAATCCTAATTGAGCTAATCCTAATCTAATCTAATTCAATCCTAAGCATCAGATTATAATAGCATAATTCTCCCGTCTTATTTCAGGTAGATCAAAATCTGGCATAGTTGCTTGCCCCAAGGTTACTCAGGGTGAAGTGTTGCCAATAAGAATAGAACTTGGTGTCATATTTCCTAGTTAAGGGATGTATTTGCTTGAGTCAAACTCAAGATGAATTCTTTGCCAGGAAAGAATTTTTTAATAGTTGCTTGTTCATAACATTATTTTATATACGTTTGTCTAGAAAGGTTTTAAAGAAGCTTGTAATGATAAGACACATGATAATAAAAATAGAGATGTAGACAATCAGAAACATGGAAAAGATCAAGATAAAAATGCCGATTAGTTTAGCTGGAAAAAGAGTCATTTATGTGGGGGCTGGCTGAAAGATGTACACTTCGTGCAGTCTTACTGCCCTGAGTTAAGCCAGACCAGTGTGAAGGGATTGTATTGACCTACTATTGAATTTCTTTTATTTAATTGCACTTTAAGAAGCAATTCAGTTGATTCTCATGTTTCCATAAGGAAATATTTTTTTTATCATAGAATATTCTTTATGTAGGTCATCAGGAAAAATTCCTTTATGGTCTTAGGATTAGTTGTGCTTCTTCTGAGCAATTAGTTTTTACCTTATTTAAACAC